CCATTCCCATCCTGTCTGCTCCATTCCCATCCCAATTCAGGCACCAGAACTCCCAGTTTGCCCCATTCCCATCCTGTCTGCTCCATTCCCATCCCAATTCAGGCACCAGAATTCCCAGTTTGCCCCATTCCCATCCCAGTTCCCAGTCCAGGGGGCAGGAATGACAAAGGGCACATCTGGCACATCTGCAGTGCCCAAGGCCGGGCTGGAGCACCCTGGGGTGTTGGGAGGTGTGGATTGGGGTGGGATTTTGGCTCCCTCCCAGCTCAATCCATGGGATTTTTGATCTCCCTCCCAGCAGGGATTTGTGGCTGCTTTGGGAGAGCAGAGAAGCCGAGGAGAAGGGCAGGAAAAGCTGGAATTCCTGTCAGAATTCCGTTCCTGTGGATTCCTGCAGGCAGCTCCAGTGCACAGCAGCGTCCCCCTCCCAGCCAGCCCCAAATTCCTCAGCTCATCCTTCCCCAAACCCCCGAGCCTCGGCAGGAAAACACCCCAGAAAAAAAATGAGACACACAAAAAAAAATCCTATTTGGTAAAATGCACAGTCTGTGAAAATTTGGTTTTCCTAATATCATTATTATTATTATTATTATCACTATTAAATTGTTAATTTGAGGCTGGGTTTCTCCCCCCTTTTTTTCCCTCCCAAACCCCCCAACCTCAGCAGGAAAACACCCCAGAAAAAAGGAGACAAAAATCATATTTGGTAAAATACACATTCCACTAGAATTTGGTGCTGATGGCAGGATGGAAAAAGGAAAAATAACTTTTACCTCCAGGAACCTGGATTCACCTCCAGGGTGAGAAATATCCCCCCAAAACCCCATGGAAAATCCTAAAGATTCTTTCCTTGGCTTGGGAATTAGGATAAAACCCTCAATGGGATGAACCCTTCAGGAATCTGGATTCACCTCAGGGATGAGAAACATCCTTTTAAAATCCCATGGAAAAATCCTAAAGATTCTTTCCTTGGCTTGGGAATCAGGAAAAGACCATCAATGGCAGGAACCCTTCAGGAATCTGGATTTACCTCCAGGATGAGAAATATCCTTTTAAAATCCCATGGAAAATGCTAAAGATTCTT